TGGAAGCCGTATTAAATGTGAAGGGGTTATAATTGAGGGAAACTCACACCTAATTATTGACACTATTACAGCAAAGTAAATCCCCATGAACATATCATCAAAGAAAATGAGAGTAAAGTGGAAAGCTCATTCAATTGGTTCACATGTTCCGTGAGGCAAACCAGCTTGTGGATTGATTAGTCAACCGAGGTCACTTTGCTTTTGGACCTGGATAACATCTCTCACGACCAGGAAACTTGTAGAATTAAGTTCCAAAAGACATTTGGGGTTTCACTACCCCCTAGTCCTGCTAGTACTCTCTTCCTTTAGAAACCAAAAGAAATATCCTTGAATTTCTCTTAAATTTCTAAAATTTCTTGAATCTAATAATCATATTTCTAAAACACCCCTACATTTATAATCTAATTTCTAGAATATTCATAGCCTCATTTCTAAAGCACTTACAAAATTAATTTAATTTTAGGTAATTACCTTGGGTGGAAAAAATTCGAGAATTACGCAAAGAGGGGTGCCTTGCGCCAAAACCCACCTTGCTAACATTTCTACTTACAACACAAGGGATTGATTCCATGGRGGATAGAGTTGTGAMRCACGATATGGGCCATGCCAAATACGGCTTGGTCATTGTAGCAATTGCGTCGTGTAAGTTTCACGTAAAAGCTGCAATTTTAAAATTGCCCTTCATATCAATTGTTTAAAGGGAAAGCTGCAACTTTAAATTTTATATTTTTTTTATTTATAAAGTTTGTATTATTTTTTTCTATAGAAACCAGTGTCAATAATAATTATATGGGTATTTTGGATATTTTAATGTTTCTTCATAGAAATTTCTAACAAAAGAGATCTACTTGCAATTATGTCAGGAATACAGGGAGGTGATTACCATTATCAAATTTGAGGAGAGATYTCAACAACSGTGAATAACTTTAGRAAATGTTTCACAAGTGATTTAAAAAGCGACCAAAAKCTAAACCATTTTTACCTCTAGRTCATAGGCCACCGGTTTAACCGAATGGATCAAACATTTCAGACCATGCCACCTCAACGTCTATATATTTTAAGTAGGGCTTTTTACAAAATAAATGACTAAATTTGGTCATTTGACAAAATCAATATATTTTTAAAATAATGGCAAAAAACATGAACAGAAAAGATTTTTAATTTTCTAAAACAAAATTGTTTTCGTAAGAGGACTTTTTCCCCTTCGAGTTCTTTACTTTCTTGGCATCTCTCTCTTCTATCAAGCTAAAGAATCGTTCGAACGCTATTCACCTTCTTCTWCCTTTCACACCGAACTAGGCACGACCATCTTCTCTCCAATTTGATCTCTCTCACCTTTTCTCTTTCCTTTTCTTTTTTCTCTTTCATCCTCTTTCTCTTTTTTTTCTTTCTTCTCCTTTCTCTCATTCTTCTTCTCGGCATCATCATCAGACCATATACCACTTTACCAGAACCTGGTTCAGCTGATGCCTTATCACCAGTTCTGACAATTTTCCTCAAATCCTGATCGCTTCRTACCAAAATGCATGGGCATAATAATAGAACTTACCTGCTCGTATTTTGGTCTGGGTTCATTTGCTGCAACAAGGGATACCACAATCTGTTTCGACTTGTTATTTGTCTTCAAACAAAACATCAATCCGCGATATGATTAGCAACGCGGTAGGAAGAAGCGATGCTTAAGGTGTAGTTCGTACTCGAGGCTTATCAACCAATGGTGGCAGGTGTAGAGAAACTGCCAACAACATCGCTCAACTGGTATATGAACAGGGGGTTTTGTATAKTGTTGGGGAAAGCCGAAATGGATGAAGGAAACTGATGTTAACGTTGTGAGACAATAAGGATTCGAAAAAAATGGTGATAAATCACCGAAATACTTGYAATACTATACCGAAAATTGACAGGCCACTGTTGGCTTGAGCTATAGTGGCGGGCGGAGATAGGGAAAGGCAGAGTAAGGAAGARAGAGAAGTCAGATAGAGAGTAAGAGAAGAGATCGAAGGAAGACTTTCCCGCCGAGTTCTGTGTTTGAGTGTGGGAGGAGGAAGATAATGAATAGTAACTTCGGCTATTTCAGGTTTAAASGGGCAATTTGGTCAAAGAAATTTATTTTCTTATCTCGATCACTAGTTTTGTCATTCTTGTAATGTATAAGGAGAGAGATGGCATTCTTATAATTTRAAAGAAAAAAAAAAACAAGAAAGAGAGAGAAAGAGTTGGTAAAAATACATTCTTATAATTTTTATGAAAAAAGTCAAAAAATAATTTTAGATTACATTTACTTCATCCTAAGGCCTTCTTAAGTACATATTTCAGCTTAATATATATATATTATCAATAAATAATATATAATTATGTTTTTAAATTTAATTTTATTATTTTATTTATTAAAATATTAAAAATTGTAATTTCAAGCAAAAAGGAGTTTTTCGTGAAAATAGCAGGGCATAGGTGCTTTGACATGCGTAAATCTCAAAAGGTTATTCAAAATCAAAAATCAAAACACTTCAATCAGACATCGGAGTGAAAAGTTATGGCCTCCCAAAATTTATATGCAACTTGCAATTCCATCATTGGGTTGACTGGCTCAACAATCTAACCATCTGAATCGAACGCTTTTAACAAAATCAACGAATTTTAACATTTCTCCGGATTTTGCTCAACGGAACTTGAAATCTTAACCGATTAACAGTTCAAACGATTCAACTAACTAAATTAATAACGAATTGAAAACATTGGGTTTCAGCAATTTATCCTAAAAATTAAAACAAAACATGTAAAACACTTKTAGACTTATGCTTTGCTTCGGCATTTAACGTTTAATTAAGAAACCTTGTTTAAATATAAACACCAAACAAATAATATAATTAAAACACCTTCAAAATTCATATTACCATCAAATATAAATATAGAACCTCTTGAAGCGGAGGTGCAATATTAGATTACCAAAGTCAATATTCATATTATTGACGATTGAAGGTGGCCAAACAAACAAAATAGTTATGTCCGTTTCATATAGCAATTAAAATTTTGATTAATTCTATCCGCCAGTGTTCTGGGAAGGAACAAAATTCTATCATGTTGTTTCACATGATAAGTTCCGCGCGTTAATTGACTTATTTGGCCACAAAATAGTATTCAATTTAATAACAAACATCACAGTTTAAATAAATTGATTTTTCGGAAGTAGGAAGCCGACGTAAGACTTTGAAGTTTGAACTGAAGTATATATATAATGAAGTATGATCACCAATTCCTTCTCCCATTTCGATGACTTCGGTCTTTTTTTCTGGATGTTTTATATCTCTGACCAATATATATCTAGTTGGATAAAAGAGAGAGAGACTTTTTTTTGGAAATTTATTATGATCTTTTCTTTCTCATAAATGTTTATTGATTTTCTAAATGTATTATTGTTCCAAACTCCCACTTTTATTATACCATTCCTTTTCCATTTGTCATTTTTCTTAATTGTATAAAATCCTAAAAATTTATGCAATGGAATAAGCAATAAAAACCCCCAAAACTTAAATGTATCTTGAATTTTCATTAATTAACTTAAATATGTCCTAGGTTTTTCAAGAGGGCTAAACAACATACCTTATACCCCCTTTTGTCCTTTATTTTCTTTCAAATTTTCAAGAAGAAAAAAAAAATCAATCAGAAAGACAATCTCATGAGTTTCATACTCAATTTTGCTTGTTAAACCAAAAGAGTAAAAATTAATTGAATTACCCCAAGAGTAAAAACATGTGAGGTCTTATTGATGGAGAGTATGTTTAAGTCATGTGAGTTCAACTCAAAAGGTATACTTAAATTTAGGGTCATATATTTAAACTAAGGGTATGTTTAATTCTTTTACCCTATTAAAAGTATTAGTGTATTTAAACCAATTAATTTTAGTGTTGTTCACTTGTACCCATAACTTTAACACAATTAATCACTCACCCTCTATTTGTTATCCCAGACCCAGCACAAACTGGTCTTGCCTTAAAGCACAAACCATGGAGGAATAGAAAATTAGCAACCGCTGACGCAGACCCTGCATCAGAGTAAGGATTAGACGTTCATATACGTCACCTAAACTAATGTTTGTCAAAAGACTCCAAACAAATTAGATATTGTCTTTCAACATTTATATGTTAATATTATAAAAATATTCAAACTCAATTCAGCCTTACTAAACTTACCATATATATAGTCAAAGCCTCAAAGGTGTTAGAACGCGGATTGAATTGTGTAAAGTTATCATACAGACCAACGTGTCGTGTAAGGACCTGGGAAATCCCTGTAGACAGCGCATGCTGTCATCACGACAGTCAAACATTTTACACTCAGTAATATGATAACTTGTCAAAAGACCCTAGAAAACACATCCCTGGTATTGTATTGTATAAGCTTTGAATTCTTTGAAATCCCCCTCCCCCCCAGGTAGACGTTCAATTAATTGAAAGATAAAAGTAGACAGTGTGAACGTAAAGGGTTGAGATTGAGAAGAAATAATAATTTGAGAAAAAAAAAATAATGCGAGTGCAATTAATAATGGTTATTTCGACCCTCAATTCAAAAAATGCGATGTCACCTAAATTGTTTTACTCGATTACCGGAAAAAAGTTATTACATATTTTTATTAATTAACCTCCTTTGTCATTTTGTTTTTTAAAAAAACATACTTTTTATTTATAACAATTAAGAAACAACATGGGACCATGCTTCTATTTTGATGTTTGCATTTTTCTATTTTCTCATAAAAAACTCTTGTTTGATGTTTGCATTTAAGGCCCCATTCGTTTAGCAGTGAATAAGGAGGTAAAGTTGGTCGGTGGATATCTTTTTACTATTGATCAATTTTATTATATATATATATATATTGCATTATGAATAAGTAAAATTTTATTCATCTCCCGAATGAATAAGTAGCTTTACCTATTTTAATATTAACTTTTTATAAGTAAAAATATAATTTTATTACTTACATATATAAGAAACATTTATCTGAGTAATCGCACTTACTCTGGTAAGTAGCAAATTTTTTCTTAATAAGTTGCAAATTGAGTTCTAAACAAATGATGCCTAAGATGTAAGCAAACTTTATTACTCAAAATTGTTCAATATAAACAAAAATGTATTTTACCCTTGTTTATACCTATCACAACTAAACATAAAAATAAATTTATCAATGCAAAACCATACCAAATTTGCATTATCACAATGCACAGCCTTAAAGATCACATATTTGCGTGCGTGTAATTGAGCAGTTTGTCTGCATTTGGTACCTTATAGGAAACATTTGATGAAAACTATGGATTTTCATTCATTGATTATTTCCTTGTACTGAGAGTGGGAACAATTCATTCATCGATTACTTGTCATTTGGCATTTTTTTTTTTGTTTTGTTTTTATTCATCTTTTAATTCAGCTGAAACTGGTATAATATTTGAAATCGAAATTGGTTTTTATAAAATGAATAATCTGTTTTTTTAGGGTAATAAAAAAGCTAGATATTTAGGAGGCGAATGCAAAATTGATTCTATAGTGATGTCCAAACATTTGTCGGGTAACTAAGTTTCCGTTTATTTATTTATTTATTTGAAGTTTGGGTGATGCATGTAGCATCATAGGAAAGAAGATCGAGAATGGCTCTTTTTTCCGGTGCATTAACGTTTCTGTAGAGGAGTGTTTACGTGTAGGCGGAAGAGAATTTTTAGTCAGCCGATGCCCGATAACATTACACATTAGACATGGAAAACATTTTTCCTAGCTAAGAAACCTGCAAGTATTAATTGCATTATTTCTCATTAATAATATAATTAATTCAAATACATAAGGCTGACCTGGTTCGGTGGGTGAGGGGAATGGTATTTTCAAAGTGAAGTGAGAGGGCGACCAAATAAATGTGAAATGTCAATGCTGAACGGTGGTTCTCTCGTTAATTTATTATGATAAATACAAAACATTGACGAAGAGGCCTTAATTAAGATGACTTTTACAAAACCCTATAATAATAATAATAATAATAATAATAAATATCTAATTAATTGTCAATCCACTGGCCACTGCTTGCTACGGTAGTAATGTTATAAATATGGGGTAAGAAACAGGAGATGTACTACAGTCGAGCTCGAGCTCCCTCGCTCACTGCTACTGCTTACAAAAACAAAAGGAAGGGAATAGCGCGCATGCAATAGCTCTAGCTCCTCCGCTCCTCCCTTATTGCATCGATCGATCCAACGAGTTACGACTGACGATGGATCCTTGCCGGAGTACTGAGTAGAGAAACAGAATAGTACTACTACTAATTAAATATAGTATGGTATGGATTTTTCATCACTTCCTCTCTTGTATTCTAGTGCGACAACGACTGTTGTAACCACGACCCTGGTTCTGGTTGTCGTTTATGGGCTTTATTGGATCGGATGGAACAACGGCGTCGTCGGCAACTACAAGAAGAAGAGGGATCAAGCACGCCCACGTCCACCCGAGCCCCCCGGTGCATGGCCCATATTCGGCCATCTTGCTCAGCTAGGGGGGCCCAAACCACTGTTCCGTACCTTGGGTGACATGGCCGACAGAAACGGTCCGGTGTTCATGCTCCGGTTCGGTATGTACCCTACCCTGGTCGTGAGCCGTTGGGATGTGGCAAGAGAGTGTTTCACCACCAACGACAGGGCTCTGGCCAGTCGTCCAACTAGTGTCGCCGGGAAATACCTGTCCTACGGTGGTGCTATCATCGGGTTTGCTCCATACGGTGCCTACTGGCGAGAGATACGCAAGATTGCCACACTGGAACTCCTCTCTAACCGTCGGATAGAATCGCTGAAACACATTCAGTTCGCAGAGGTAGGGAAATGCATCAGAGAGCTGTACGAGCTGTGGGTGAGGAAGCAAAGGCGTCCCTTCACGGTGGAAATGAACCAGTGGTTCGGGGACCTGACCATGAACGTTATCGTTAAAATGGTTATCGGAAAGCGATATTTCAACACCACCGACCCATCGGACGAGGACAAGGAGGCCCGTCAATTTCGAAGGGCAATCATCGAGTTCTCTAAACTGGCAGGGGTTTCAGTGGCATCCGACGCCATCCCATTTCTGGAATGGATGGATTTACAAGGGCACAAGAGTGCCATGAAGAAGGCGTCCAAGGAAATGGACTCCATCGCCGTTGGCTGGCTGGACGAGCACCGCGACCGCAGGCGCGGAAACAGAAACAGAGATGATCAGCAACAGGACGACGACTTCATGGATGTTCTGCTTTCAATACTAGAGGAGGATACTCACCTCTCCACCTACGATCGCGATACCGTTGTCAAGGCCACCGCCCTCGTACGTACCTCTCTCTCTCTCTCTCTCTGGTGTCAATTATACTGGGACCAGGTCCAATTCAATAAATGTTTTGGACCAATTTGGACTGCTCCAATTCAATCCAATCTATTCAAATTTATTTTGATGTAGATTAGTTTAATCCAAACCCGGTTCATTGACACATATATCTTATCTTAGAACAGATAGTGGCTTAATTCAACCCAATCTAATATAAATTTGTTATAGACAGACCAGATCCAATCCAATCTAATAAATATTTTAGAGAGAATTGGTTCAATTCAATATGTCTTATTGGTTCGTCTAAATTGATTTTAGATTGAAGGGACAAAACCGGTCCATTTACACTCTTATATGTACCCTGCTCCTGCCGATTATTATACCTAATTATATCTAGTTAGAATTACGATATAGCTAAGTTAATATTTCATTATAATTAATTTATTATAACTTACAAGAGAATCCACAAATTAATTAAGCTTATTAACTTCATTCTTATTATTCCATAAAATTTTGTTAATTTTACTGCAAGACCTGAAACCTAGCTCGATCCATATATAATTCCTTAATTTTCCCTTTCTACACACTTTATTCATTTATTTCTCTTTCTTAATTATATTTACAATATAAAATTAAGTTGTGATGAGACCGTGGAAAAAAAAAAGATTGATTGAACTGCTAATAAATAATAATCCTCCATTAATTCTTGGCTACAATAAGTAATACAACAGACAATTCTACAATAGTTTAATTAATTAACTCAAATATATTTTTTTAATATACGTGGATGCAACTTGATGGAATGTGATTGGACAAGCAGGCTCTGATCTTGGCTGCCAGTGAAACCACGGCAATCACCTTATCATGGGCGCTCTCCTTGCTGCTGAACAACCGGCACGTGTTGAGAAAAGTCCGGGATGAATTGGAGAAATGTGTTGGGAAGGATAGAGAAGTGAAGGCGGATGATATAAAGAACCTGGTGTACCTGCAAGCAGTTGTGAAGGAAACACTTCGCTTGTATCCTCCGGGTCCACTCTCCGTACCACATGAGGCTATCGAAGACTGCTGCGTACACGGCTTCAGGGTCCCAGCAGGGACGCGTGTTTTGGTTAACCTTTGGAAGATACAACGCGATCCTACGCTGTCGTCCGACCCTTCCCAGTTTCGTCCAGAAAGATTTCTCACCGTCACCGGGGCCGGCAGCACCACCCACATCAACGTTGATGTCCGCGGTCAACACTTCGAGTTGATTCCGTTTGGGTCGGGCAGAAGAATTTGCCCAGGGATTTCATTTGCTCTTCACACCATACACATGACGCTTGCCCGCTTAATTCATGAGTTTGAGCTGGGGACACCCTCCCAAGCACCTGTCGACATGACCGAGGGTTCCGGTTTGACCATGCCCCGAATTACGCCATTGCAAGTCATTTTCACCCCACGCCTTCCTTTCCTTCAAGTTCAATATAATAACACCAACCAGTAGACAAAAATTTGATCTTTGAATAATGAATCTAAACCTCCTTATATTTAACTACTAAAAGATAAAATAATAAGTTCTCTCTCCCTCTCTTCTTATTTCTCCTAGTAATCTACCTGAATACATAGTTTGGAAATTGTAAATAAAATTATTGATATAAACCAATTGGGGCAATGGAGCGTGTTCGGTTTCTGTATTTTGCTAGCTTGGGCCAGCTGTAAATGCCGCTCGTTTATCCAAATTTGGTGGATTCGTTTYCAATAATGGTGATCTGAATTCGATTCATTTATAATTGCAAGAATTCACCGCACCCGTAAAATATAATTCCATGAAGATATATGATTATATAAACTTAAATAGAACTAATATTATCATATCACGTTTGCACTTCCATGAGTTATTTATCCAGGTAAATACACTTACCAGCTAATTATTTTCAAGGAAATATTTATYCAGGTAATTGTATTTAYYCATGTTCTTTTATTTTCATGTAAATAAGGTAATGACYACTTCATCCATAAAAAAACATTATTACAAAGAGCATTTTTGTCCCTTTCAAGTGTTGGCAACTTTCCCTCAAGGTGAAAAGAACATGGGATTTTTTTGTCAATGGGAATCAAAATCCCATTGACCAACTTTCCCCCCTATCAAAATCCAAAAAAAGAACACCTCCATAATGTAATTCATACTAATCTGTATTTTCCTCTTTGGCTCGTTCATTTCCCATTTAATAAGCTGTAAGATCAATATTTTAAAAACTGACCCAAAGTAAGATCCACTTTCACCACTAATTTTTAGGTCAACAGTTTGACAGTCCAATTCAAAAGGATGGCCTTAGGGGTGGGGTATTCATGGGTTGGTTTCGTTCAGTTTCAGGCTATTTAGTCAAATGAATTAATCTAGATGGGTCGGGGAGTTAGTGGCTTGAAACCGACTGACCAAGGGTGAAAACTAGCTATCTCAAGTTGTATCAGTTTGAATTGCTTTTGGATGTGGGTTAGCTTGGCCCAGCCCAGCCCATAACGTCTGACAGTGTCAGCCACAGTAGGAGGGAGCCCTACTGGCTTCGTACGGAACCAACCGCATGACGATCAGATGTACCTACCAGGGCCTACCGCCTGACATCGTACGACTCTCATCCGAGGCATTCATCTTCACCTACCTCCAGTAGCTCAAGTATAAATAAGAGGTAACTCCCCCTTAAAGGGGATCCGGAATAGAAAAATCCTAACACAGATTACTCATTTACACCCTGCACCTACCTTGCCTCCTTAGCATTTATTCTGGTGGAGATCTAGAGCATCCGAGGACTATCTCCAAGACTTGGCTTGCACCCTCTCCTACTTTAGGCCCCACACTAACTTGAGTGTCGAAGACTTTACCTCGAGTACCTGCCCGAGGCCTTTGACATTCACTGTCTTGCAGTATCTTTGGTCACAAGGGACTTCGCCTCGGCCTACAGTCTTCGGCTACCACGGTCCTTGGAAGGAATACCTCACCTCGGCCTGCAGTCCTTGGCTTCAACTCACCTCTTCCGAGGCCTCGAAGTTGTCGACCAACATTCAAAACTTGTAGAGTGAATTTAACTCATTGCCCTCGGCCAATCTGGGCGGCAACAATTGGCGTCGTCTGTGGGAAGCGTTGCTAAGACGACCCCCACTTTAGGATAAAAAAGAAAAGAAACAACATACTCTAAATCCAAGCCCTCTTAAGCTTTAAAGCCATGGTGCGGAGAGCCTGGAACAATCAGAACCTTGTCACCTTTGAATAGTTACAGGCTCTCCTCGTCTAAACCGCCTTACTCAATGCGTAGAAGAAGTTTGCCCCTGAGCAGGAGGCCCCTCTCGAGGCGACCGCCCCACTGGGGTGTTAGAGGATCAGGGCCGACATTAGCAGGTCGAGCCACCAGCCCTTGGCCTTGGTAACTCTCTAGCCGAGCCATCAGAATCGGGCAACAATCGTCCCTTGGATTCACCACGAAGGAACATCTGTCCTCCTAGCTGAAGGGAAGCATGCCCGTTCAATATGAAGATAGTCATCAACCTTTAGAGAAACACCACCGCCACCGGAGGAAGGCCCCCCGGGACGACAATGGGCATCTCGGCCGCCCTGGAGTTCGCTCTCGAGGCGAGAACCGATGCCACGCCACCTCCCTCCCATCTCGGATCTCTGGGACGTTCTGAATGATCGTCACGCCCACAGAGGAGCGTGCGATCCTGTCTCGGAGTATTTGGGAGTCCGAGTCGACACGCACTGGGTCCGCGAGGACAGAAGTGGGGCCCATGCCCGTGCTGACCCGGGGCTTGCCAGGTTGTGAGCCGAGATTGGGGCCGTCAAGGACGAGCTCCGCCAGGTTAAGGAGAGTCGAGCCGACGCCTCAACCAGTCATGGCAACTCCGTTGGCCGCATGGACGCATTCACCACATAAATCATTTAGGAGCCTCTTCCCCCACACTTCAAGGCTCCCACACTGGAAACGTACGACGGGAGCACCGACCCCGATGACCACCTGTAGGGTTTTAGGGCGCTCATGATACTGTACGTGTATTCCAACACCTTGACGTGCCGGACCTTCCARGCCACCTTTAGGGGGGCCGTTCGTTGTTRGTTCTCCAGCCTCCCTCCTTGATCAATCAGCTCGTAGGAGAAATTTACAACCTTGTTCCTCGCTTACTTCATCAGTAGTAGACRATGCTAGAAGAGCATAGTCTCTCTGGTGTCGCTCAAACAAGAGCCAGGTGAGAGCCGACGGTCCTATATTGACCGCTTTAAGAAGGAAGAGCTTGAAGTTCGAGACCTCGACCCTATGGTCTCTATGCAAGCAGCCATCAACGGACTCCGCCTGACTCAACCCTCAATTTTTCGGTTGCTAAGACCTCGCTGAAGACTAAATTCGAATTCCTCAAGAAGGCCCAAAAATACATCGTGACTAAAGAGGCTTCGGTCGGGGATAACCAAGAAAGGGCAGTCGACCGAGAAGACGGGCGCCGGAGAAGAAGAGGAAAGGCGGGAACCAGCGCCGCCCCAGCAACCATGGTGGCAAAAACAACAAGAAGCCATTGGCTCCAACCTTGTCTTACAAGGACTACACGCCACTCAACTCCACCCGCACTCGGATACAGATGCAGATCGGGGAAGAGAAGTTTGTGAAGTGGCCAACGAAGCTGAAGTGGAACCCCAAGAGAGGAGCCCAATGAAGTACTRCAAGTACCACCGCGGCACGGACTATGACACCGAGGACTGCTACGATCTAAAGAATGAAATAGAGTCCCTTATCTGCCGCGGGCACCTCAAGCAGTTCGTCAGAGGAGAGGTTGGCGCCACGTCCTTCCAATAGTAGCAGTATTAGCAAGTGGCAGGTGTCATCGATGGGGGCATAACGTCGGGTGGAGCCTTGGCCTCAGCTCGAAAAGCCTACACCAGGCAGCTTAACAAGTACCCGGACGCTTCGTAAAGGCCGAGCTATCCACATGACCTCATCTTCACCAATGAGGACTTAGAGGGGGTCGCAGTCCCCTACGACGATGCCCTCGTGGTCACCGCCATCATCTCCAATTTTATGGTGAAGAAGATCTTGGTGGGTAGTGGCTCGTTATCCGATATCCTTTTTTACAACACCTATGAGATAATGAAACACACGCCAGAGCGGCTCCAGCCCGTCAACGTTCCCCTTGTCGGCTTCTCCGACAGCGTCGTCTGGCTGGAAGGAAAAATTACCATACCCATCACGATAGGGACAGCACCACACCAGGTGACTAGGATGCATGAGTTCCTAGTGGTGAAGGTTGTCTCTCCCTACAACGCAATAATGGGGAGACCAATCCTTCATGCACTAGGGGCAGCCCTGTCCACCTATTACCTGGCCCTCAAGTTTCCCACCGAGCACGGCGTCGGAGTTGTTCGTGGGAACCAGCAAATCGCCTGCCAATTCTACGTTGCGGCACTAAAAGGAAAGAATAAGGAGGCCCTATCACTAAAAGGCCTCGATCTCTGGGAAGAGCCAACAAGCCGAGGCCAGCCAGCCAAGGACCTCGTCTCGGGTCTCCTGGATGAGTTAAGCCCAGAGAAGGCAATCTGCGTCGGGTCCAACCTTCCCCCTGAACACTTATCTGAACTGGTAAGTTTCCTTAGAACTAATGCCAACGTATTTGCTGGTCCACCGCGAACATGCCTGGAATTGACCCATCGGTCAATACTCACAAGTTGAGCATGGACCCGAGCTCTAGGCCAGTTCGGCAAAAGAAGAGGAACTTTACACCAGAACGATGGAAGGCCATAGGAGAGGAAGTTGATAAGCTACTCGACGTCGGCTTCATCCATGAGGTACATTACCCCAACTGATTGTCTAACGTGATTTTAGTATGGAAATCTAATGGGAAATGGTAGATCTGTATTGACTTCACAGACCTTAACCGAACTTGCCCGAATGACAGTTTTCCTATGCCAAGGATAGACCACCTCGTCAACACCACTGCAGGGTATGAACTACTTAGCTTCATGGATGTCTTCTCTGGGTACAACCAGATCTAGATGCACCCCGATGACGAGGAGATGACCTCGTTCATCACTAAGCATGGCACGTACTGCTAGAAGGTAATGTCGTTCGACCTTAAGAATGCAGGGACACCTACCAGTGCCTTGTCAATAAGGTTTTCAAGAATCAGATGGGGAGGAACATCAAAGCCTACGTGGATGACATGGTGGTGAAGAGCCTGACGGCCGAAGCTCAACCCGAGCAAGTGTGCCTTCGGAGTTACCTCTGCAAAATTCTTAGGCTTCGTCATCACTCAAAGAGGCATTAAAGCCAACCTAGACAACGTACATGCCATACTAGACATGGCACCCCCTCGATCAGTAAAGGAGACCCAGAGACTCACCGGTAGGATAGCAGTTGGCAGACCATTTCATGTCAAAGTTGGTAGGCCACTGCCTTCCCTTCTTCCATGCCATTAAGAAGCTGAAAAGTTTTGAGTGGACGGAGGAGTGTCAGCGTGCTTTCGACGAGCTCAAGCTACACCTCGCCTCACCCCCGCTCCTTGCTCGTCCAACACCAGGGGAAACTCTATATTTGTACTTGTCAGTTGGAGAAGAGGTCGTCAGCTCGGTCCTATTGAAAGATGACGGAGTCCAGAGACCTGTATACTATGTCAACAAGGTCCTCTACGACGCCGAAACCAGGTACTTCAAAGTGGAAATGCTCACCTACGCCCTCGTTACCTC